CAAATCATTATATATCCCAAAGTGGACTACCAGAGTCCCAGTATAGAAAATGTTCAGGGCCGGCACCGCGGCTCAATAGGCTAATCCTCCGCCTTGTGGAGCCGGCACACTGGGTTCTAGTCCCGGTCGGGGCGCCGGATTCTGTCCTGGTTGCCCCGCTTCCAGGCCAACTCTCTGCTGTGGCCCGGGAATGCGGTGAAGGATGGCCCAAGTGCTTGGGCCCTGCACCCCATGGGAGACCAGGAGAAGCACCTGGCTTCTGCCTTCGGATCAGCACGGTGCGCCGGCTGCAGCGTGCTGGCCACGGCGGCCATTGGAGGGTGAACCAATGGCAAAAGGAAGACCTTTCTCTCTGTCTCTTTCTCTCACTGTCCACTCTGCCTGTCAAAAAAAAAAAAAAAAACGACTAAGTTTTTTTCCCCTATCCCAATTAGTAAATAAACAAAAGGCTGAGAGGATTGATAATGACAACTGAGTCTTTTCAACTATAGGGGTGGTGTCTAAAGTCTAAATTTGGTTAGCAAGCATCACAAAAATAAAAACATCCCACTTATAAAACACTTAGGTGCTGCAACAAACATGAAAAAATCACTGAATGTAACAGCAACTGCTCCCAATTCTGCAATTATGGCATTAAAGTAGTGGACGAATGCTAATACATGCTTCTATCTCTGGAAAAAAAAGAGAAATGGTAATTAAACAGTGAAAATAACCAGATAATGCATGAACTTGCACTTGGAAAGAAATTATTCAACATTCACTGAATACTTGCTATGTGCCATGTTAAATTCTAAGTACATGTTGCAAACTATTAACAAACTGTTGTCAAGACATGCCTAGGGGGTGGGCATTTGCTGGCCAGTGGGGACGCCCACATCCCCCACTGAATTCCTGGGCTGCAGTCCACTCTGATTCCAGCTCCCTGTTAAAGCACATCCTGGAGAAAGCAGGCTGAAGCAGCTGGCTTCCTTTATCCCATGTGAGGAACCTGGCTTGAGCTTCCAAATCCTGGCGTTGGCATAGCCCAGCCCTGGCTACTGTGGGCATTAGGAGAGTGAACCAATGGATGGTAACTGTGTCTCTCAAATAAATAAATAACATTTTAAAAAGACATGCCTATGTCTCACTGCCATTTAATAAACACTTGTTAGGATTTACCATGTATACTGTGCTAAGCACTACAGATGTATCTGTAAACAAGACCAATGCTATCTTTGTCCTCTGTTATGATGCAGGAGAAAAGAAATCGTTAGAAACTACAATAAGGAGGTAAACAAAGCACCAGTAAACAGTAAGAGGAAAGCAGCCTAAGATAGAGTGGCTGAAGAAGGCCTCCCTGAGGAAGTGACATTTACGCTAAGGCCTCAGGGGGAAAGGAGCCAGTCCTGGGCAGCTCTGGGGAAAGAGGCCACAGCAGGTGCTAAGCCCCGGAGTGGGAATGAGTGTCAAAGAGCACAAAGATAGCAGTATGGCTTGATTATCATGAACAAGGGCTGAATGGCACAAGCTGAAGCCACAGTGACAGAACAGACCACACAGCGTTGCATAGCATCAGAAGAAGTTTGGATTTCATTCTAAGGACAATATGGAATCACAAAGGTTTTTTTTTTTATTTTAAAGATTTGTTTATTTTTAAGATTTATTTATTTATTTATTTGAAAGGCAGAATTACACAGAGAGAGAAAAACAGAGAGATTTTCCATCTGCTGGGTCACTTACTCAAATGTCTGCAAAGGCTGGGGCTGCCCAGGCTGGGCCAGGCAGAAGCCAGGAACTCCATCAGGGTTTCCCAAGTGGCTTGCAAGGGGCCCAAGTATTTGCGACATCTTCTGCTGCTTTCCCAAGTGCATTAGCAGGGACAGAACCATCACATCAGCAGGGACTCCAACCAGCACTCATATGGGATGCTGGTATTTCAGGTGGCGGCTTAACCTGCTACACTATAACAACAGCCCCCATCAAGGATTTTTAAACAAGAAAGCAACACGATCTAATTTGCATTTTAATAAAAATCATTCTTCTACTTGTATGAAGCATGGATTTAAAAGAACCAAGACTGGGAAATGAGGGAGACCTGCAAAAAACTGATAGTGACTTTGAGTGAAGTGCTAGATTGGAGAAAGAAAAAAAAAGAGAGCAATTCCAGATGCATGTTCAAGATGGGAGAATGGCCTGGGTACGTAGGTGGAGGAGGAGGAGTGAAGGTGGAACCAAGAGTGGATCCTAGGTTTCTAGGTTGAGCAATTAGATGGGTGGTGGTGCCATTTACTGAAACGGGTGGTGCAAATTATTGAGATTTATTCTTCATATTCCATGTGCTCATTTCTACCTAGGGCTTCCAAAGATAATCCAAATGCCAAATCCAGTAAACCTTTATTACATTTACTCTGACTTCATTAGAAGATGTTAACCGTGTCCTCTTTTTTTTTTTTTTTTTAAGATTTATTTATTGGGGCCGCCACTGTGGTGTAGTGGCTAAAGTCACTACCTGCAGTGCAGTGGATGCATCTAGGATGCAGTGCAGGCATTCCATATGGATGCTGGTTCAAAACCTGGCTGCTCCACTTCCGATCCAGCTCTCTGCTATGGCCTGGGAAAGCAGTGGAAGATGGCCTGAGTACTTGTGCCCCTGTACCCACATCAGAGAACCCAAAAGAAGCTCCTGGCTCCTGGCTTCAGATCAGCCCAGTTCTGGCCAGTTGGGGAGTGAACCAGTGGATAGAGTATCTCTCTCTCTCTCTCTCTCTCTCTGCCTCTCTGTAACTCTGCCTTTCAAATAAATAAATAAATCTTTAGATTTTTTTTTAAATTTTTTGACAGGCAGAGTGGATAGTGAGAGAGAGAGACAGAGAGAAAGGTTTTCCTTTGCCGTTGGTTCACCCTCCAATGGCTGCTGTGCTGCAGCCGGCGCACCGCACTGATCCGATGGCAGGAGCCAGGTACTTCTCCTGGTCTCCCATGGGGTGCAGGGCCCAAGCACTTGGGCCATCCTCCAATGCACTCGCTGGCCACAGCAGAGAGTTGGCATGGAAGAGGGGCAACCGGGACAGAATCCGGCACCCCGACCGGGACTAGAACCCGGTGTGCTGGCGCCGCAAGGTGGAGGATTAGCCTAGTGAGCCGCGGCGCCGGCAATCTTTATATTTTAAGATTTATTTATTTATTTGAACGGCAGAGTGAGACAGAGATCTTTCACTCCCCAATTTACTCCCCAAATGGCTGCAGTAGCCAGGGCTGGGCCAGGCCAAAGACAGGAGCCAGAAGCTCCCACATGGGTGACAGGGGCACAAGCACTTGGGCCATCCTCCGCTTTTTTTTTTTTCTTTTTCCAGCAGGGAGCTGGATCACAAGTGGAACAGAAGAGACTCCAACCAGCTGGCCCCACTTCCTCTTTCTTAAACTTCATTCGTTCTTGGTTTCTAAAGTACCAGACTCTCCTCTTTGAAGTTTTTCTCTTTGAAAGTACGTCACATTCCATCTATCCTGGGACTCAGTCCTGGGCCCTCCGCTATTTCCTTGATGATCTCACCCAAGCAAGCCAAGCTTTGACTTCTGGCTGCATAATCCCTCCCAAATCTGTACTTTCCACCAGCACTTCCTCCTTACCTCTGGAATATGCACCTGTCTTCTACCCACCTCTTTCTGGATGTCTCACCAGCATCTCAAAGTTGACACATTCAAATGTACCCCCACTCCCCCCTCACCCAGCATCTACCAACTCTGGGAAAAGCTGAACCTTCAAGAAACATCTTGAGTGGCAAAATGGGCCTAAAATTCAAAAGGAGACCAACCAGCAATTACACACCTACTTTGTTATGCTCTGTTTTCCTGGGGGGGAAAAAAAAACATTTGGCATTCCTTCCTGAGCTCAGTTCTGTTTTAATTGTGGAAAACAACCTTCAAAATCCAATTTCAGCACCAGAATGTGGCCAATGAACTGTGACCTGAGGTCAACTTAAAAAAAAATCAGCAAATCAAGACAGAGTGCCCGCCCCTCAGCTTGCCCTCATTTGCATAGCAGGTCTGAGAGGGGACTTTCTGTAAGATCACCTTCACTTTGTTCCTCCAGGGTGAAAGAAATTCTCTCTTTATCCTCAATTCTTTCCCAGTGGATATTTGCTGACAGCTCCCATTCCGTCATCCCATATTCTCCAGCTGTGAAAAGCACCATCTTCCAAAAATGTGCCCGCAAGCCCAGGACCCGGCATCACCTTATCCATATCAGGTCAGTTTCCAAGCCCTGTCAAAATTACTTTCTCACTAGCTCATGAATGTAGCCTCTCTTCACAGCTCACCGCTTTCATTCAGGTCTTCATTACCCTCCCCTGGATTATGACATTAGCACTCGGGTTTGTCTGGCTTCAGCCTCACCCTACTCTAGCCCATCCCTCATATGACAATAGACAGAAAGCCTTCAGTGGATTGAAGAGTGGCAGACAAGGCCCTTTGTGAGCTGGTGCCTCTGGCTGGCTCTCCTGCCTCAACTCTCACCATCCCCCTCGTAATAACCATCCAGGATCCTAGCACACTGAACCACCAGCAGGTTCCACCCCTCATGCCCCTTGGCAGTTCCAACATGCGTTCCCCCGGCAGCCTGCACTAAGATGATGGCCCTTCCTCAAGCTCCCACAGCACAGCTTTATCCAGAGTTTTTAGGGTCCTTAGCATGGAAATTACTTGAGGACAGGATAGTTTGATGCTGAATACTTAGAAGTGCTTAGTGAACAGTTGCTGAAGAACTTTAAAAGTTTCTTCTGTAAAAGCTGTATCTCCAAGCAGGAAAAGGCGATTTGGCAAGAAGAAACATTCGATACTTTCCAAAAATCAACCAAGAACATAAGCTGCTGATTCTCACACACCAGCATTCATCTTTCAAGACTGAGGAGGGATTTCCAAGGTTTATGTGGCTATGATCCTGGCGGTCTTTTCAGTAATAGTTTTGTTAGTGCTACTACTCCTAACCCCCTGAGTTTTAAGATCAGCTGAGAAGATGGCCCAAGTCCTCGGGCCCCTTCACCCGCGTGGGAGACCCAGAAGTTCCTGGCTCCTGGCTTCGGATTGGCACAGCTCCGGCCGTTGTGGCCAACTGGGGGAGTGAACCAGTGGATGGAAGATCTCTCCCTCTCTCTCTGCCTCTCCTCTCTCTGTGTAACTCTGACTTTCAAGTAAACTAATAATAAATAAATCTTTTTTTTAAAAAAAGGTCAGCTGAATGTTTTGTCGACCACAGCCACCCCGAGCTCTCATGCCTAGTAATTCTGAAGTACACAAGATTTCTGATAAATCTTGGTTTCCTGCTATTTCCTATTTATTTGGTTAAACACAGATATAACCAACAATCACAACAAAAAACGATACAGGTTTAATTTTTTTTTTTTCTCAGAGACAGAAGACGGAATGGATTGTGTCTTACACATACAAAGTGTATCTTCATAGGTGAGCCTCCCTGGAGCACTACATGTCACAGCCTGGTGAAACGGAACCGTGTCGGCCCACAGAACTCACCCCCCACCCCAGCTCTAAAGGTTACATTAAGAACTTTACCAGGAAAGAAATGACTGCAAACTCTGGTATCTACATGCTGTGATGCAACTGACATTTTGCAAAACAAAAGGAATGAAAGCTCTCGGCGGTTTCTTAGCAGTTGGCCATCTGTATAACCATTACTTAACTAAATTCCGAGACAGTAACTAGTACTTTGCTTTGAAAGGCAACAACACAAAACAAGTCCTGGGCAGACAAGACCTCAGATATCTAATTCACCTAATTCACGAAAATCGAGCCCGAGGTTTACCTTGGATCCATGAAATTTGGTAAGAAAAAAAAATTTTTTTAAAGGACGAGTACAGCTTTTAACCCTCTATGTTTTGCCAAGTTGCGGTGACTATGCCTGAAAATATTACGGATTGGACCGAATTCTTTTAAACTGGGTCATCTCACTGCTGTTCCCAGCTCTTTGCATGCTAACCCAGAAGCAATGTAAATGCGCTCTGATGCTTTCCAGATCAGAGATGAGAAAAATGAGATTCCGGGACTCTTCCTTCACCGGGGCTTAAAAATGGGAGCATTCGAGATAGAACTTACAAGGTAGTGCAGAATACAGGCGTACGGCGGAAACAAACCAACAAAGGCCCCACCAGTGAAAAACCTGCAACCTTCTGCCACCTCCCGAAGGTGGAGGACGGCTGGACCCCCGGCTCCGGGGTCGGAATCCCGGAGGCCCCGGGCGAACCGCAGCCGCCGGGAGGGCAGGCAGGGGACGCTCTGCGGCTCCCGCTGCCCCGGGAAGCCCCCGGGAAGCCGCAAGGTGGGCGCTCTCCCCTCCTCCGCCACACTCGAGATTCAGGAGGCAACAGAAAGAGGCTCTGCGCCTTCCCGGCCCGTCGCGGGCCCGCGCTGCTTCCCGGGCTGGGCTCCCCCGGCCCCAGAGCGCGCAGGCCGCGCCCCCTCCCCACCGAGCGCGCAGGGCCTGGGACCGCCGCGACGGGCGGGTGCCGAGCCCCGGGAGCCCCCCGCCCAGACCCGGGCCCCGGCATCACTCACAGAGTCCGAGCGCCGCCGCCAGCACTGACCACATCCCGCGCCTGCGGTCTGAGGCTGCAATCGCTGCCATGGCTCCTGTGGGCGCTGCCATCGTCCTGCCGCCGCAGCCACTGCTGCGCCCCTGGACCTCGGCCCCCGTTACGGTGGCTCCTTCGGCGCAGATCTGCCGCCGCCCGTGCCCTGTGGCACCTCCACGCCGCGGTCCCCTCTCCCGGCCCCTGCGGCTGCCCTCCAGCCGCCCGCCTCCGTCCCAGCCCCGCCCCGCGCCGGCCCCAGCTGCCAGCCCATTGGCCTTACCGGCACCCTCTGCGGGACGCTATTGGGCAGTCTGCCTGTCCATCACCCCTCCCTCGGGCGGGCCCCACCCCCTGGGTCGCACCCAGAGCCGCAGCCCTGCCGGAGGCCGGGGCCCAGGCGGCTGCCTGCCTGCGTGGCCGTCCGCACGCCTGTCCCGGCCGAGCCCCACGGTTCCCTTCATTGTCTCCGCCAGTCGCGGGTCCTCTCCTCGCGCTGACCTCGCCTCTGCTTTAGCGCTTCTCGGTTTCTCCCAGGCCTCACTTGAAGATAAGGGAGCCGTTCATTGATCTAAAACATTTTAAAAGGTAGTAGAGTGTAATGGGGCGAGCTCTGCCTCAGGGGTCCAGAGAGAACGCACCTCCCCCTCGCGCTGTCCCCAAAGCCTGTCCTTTGCCTGGGGTGGATAATACGTGTTGCAACTTGAGGAATCTGCCAGGTTAAAGGGAGTCTCCATTGGCCTTAGCCTCCCCTGGGACCACCCCCACCCCGTTCTGGGCTTGAGAAGTGGGAGCCCTGTCCTGTTATCTGGAACACACGCCTGTTGTGATTCTGCATGTCCATGGCCCGCTCTATGTGCCAATAAAAATAAGGGCCACTTCCTCACCCTGATCCTGAAGTCCCTTTGCGCCCCCGGGCCCACAGCGGTCGGCTGGCACTCATTGGTCACCCGGTAAAAGTGTTTGGAAAAAGAGCCTACAAGAGCCCAGGAAATAGGAGCGGGATGGAGGAAAAGGAAAGATCCAGGTAGGAGCAGATGAAGGGAGGAAGGGAGCACATTTTAGACAAGAGTGGGGAAGAGTGTGATGGGAGAACCCACAAGGCAGTCTCTCACTGTGTGGTGTCTGAAGTCCATCTCCCCATCCCAAAACACCCTGCTGTCTGTTTGAGCCTACTAGCCTTGCCGTCCAGCACACCTGTAATAATCACATTGACCTGAATGAGAAAACTAAAGAGCATACCAAAAAAAAAAAAAAAAAAAAAAAAAAAAAAAAGGCACCGTTTTGCCCCATTTCTCTGAACAAGTTCCTTTGGAAGCCTGTCTGGAATGCTATGGAAAGGATACAATTGCACTAACTATGTGGAGACTTTGCTCTCAAGAAACACAGTCTGCCAGTAAAGACACACATTGCATTACATCTTCTAATATCCTTGCAGGGAAAGGGGAGCCAAGGAGGACCCCACCGCCCACAGGGACTGAGGATCCAGAAGCCATATGTAGTGTTACAATCTTCTCTGCTCACTCCGCTGGAACTCCACTCACACATCCTTCTCCCCAGTCCCACTGGCCCAAGAGGGGTCTGGGAAAGATCTGAGGAAGATGGGACGTTGGAGGTGGACTTGAAAGGACAAAATAAAAGTTTCCCAGAGATAAACAGGGAAAAGCCAAACTTGGAAATACAGAAAATCATGACCCAGGGGAGAGAAACGGTGGGTAAATCCTGTGTAGTGTGGAACTCCAAGGGAGAGAGGGAGAGAGAGAGAGAATGCTGGAACAGGGGACTGTGGTCATATTTGAAACACCTCGGGTTCTCCTTTTTCTGTAGGTGGTGCAGAGCGGCAAATGGGAGCTACAGGGTCAGATGTGCGTTTTAGAAAAAGGTAAGCCCTGCTACATACAGGCCATAGCAGTAAAGATGCACAGAGACTTTTCAGGGAAAGAATAGTAGGACTGGGTGCAAACTGGATGGGAAGTATAATTAAGGGTAAAGAATCCCAATATCTAGCTTGTCCACTTTTGTCTATAAGAGCTGTTGCCAGAGGAAAATGGGAATGCCGTGCACTGTGTGTGGTGACAGTAAGGTGTTCCAGAAACACTAAGAATCTGACTCTTTCTAGATGTCTGTCCGATAGAGTCCAAGATGCATCCCAGGCCACTCTTGAGAAAGATTTGCCAGAAGTCAAGATCGGTTTCACCCATGATTCTATGGTGAGCCTGTCTTAATCTGGGAGAAGCGTTTTTGCTTTTGCAAACCTGAAAATTGGAGTTCTTGTGTCTCCTTTCCCCGGGTGCAGTCACCAAATTAGGGGAGTGAGTTTCTTCATTCACAACGGCCAGCATAAAACCTGCCTGAAGATTTCCTGAGTCCCCGTGCCTTGCAACCATCTATTAGGGGCTTAAAAATGTTGGTGGAAAAAAAAATATGGAATGAAAAGATAAGTTTCTGTTGGCACAAAGAAATTTTTTTTTTGAAATCTGAGCATAGTTTTTCATATTACACATTTCCCATGAACTTTTTAGAAGGACCCCTGGTATGCATGGATTTTTTTTAAAAAGTTTTTGCATCAAAATAAACTTGTCCTTTTCCATGAACTTTTGGAAGTGCCCCCGTGGGTCCTACATATGCTTCAAAAGGACAAAATTCTAGGGGCAGATGTGCCCTGGAGAGGAGGCACAGGCAGGCACTTGTCCAGCCAAGATAAGGATATTTCCTACTGAAAAGCAGGCAATCTGCATTCTGAACTCTGTTACTGTCAGTGTCCTGCAACATTTTTGTCATGCGCAGGGGAGATACTCTAGCCTGCTGGTCAGAGGCAAACCGGTTTTCCATCACCAGAGAGAAGTGGAAGTAAAGAAAACAAACCCCCACATAAGAATAACTGTGGCAAATCCCGGCTGGAAGGTGAACATAGAAGCCTCTGCTTGCAGAAATTGAAGATTTCTCAAGTGCTTCTGTTATTTTACCCTAGAAATTATATTTGGTAGAGTCCTCATTTCAGGGAGAAAGACATACTTCTTAGGTGCCCAGGGTGCATTTTTCTTCTAGTGAGGTTTGGATGAATACACATGTTGGCATTTAGAACTCATTAACATTTTGAAGGACATTCTCCTGGCCTTGAGCAGTAAGAACTCAAGACTCAAGTTAGGGCAGTTTCAACCAAGACAAAGAAGGGTGGAGACTGAAGATATTAGAGTTCTAAAAGTGCACCCTAGGAGGAAAGTTGGCAAAGCACAGTCTGGCCGACAGGGCTGTCTAAATATCTGTTGACTGAATCAGTATAAACCGATGGATGAAGGAATGACAAGTGACATAAAATAAAGGAATATGTCTCTTTAGGATTAACACCCTGTCTGCTTGTTTCCTATCTGGTGGGTTGTTTGCTAGCGTGACAACACATGATTCCTTGTGGAAGTACCCAAATTAAGGAGTTTAGGGCAGATTCCACTTATTAAGAAGTAATCATTTAGGACAGCTTTGCTCTTGTAAGCGTTGATGCTACGTGTTTAGGGATTTGAAACGTAGTTAAAAAGCCACCCCACTTCTGTGAGTTAAAGAAATCCGGACAACTGGCCAGCAATTAGACCACTGGTTTTCTATTGCACAATGCAATTCTGTGGCACCCGGGAACCCTGCCCTGCAGGAGTGGAGACAAACCCGGATATACGCCACGTGCACGCGGTTTGGAAACGTTAAAGGATCTTTTTCGACCCTTTAGTTGGAGTGTACGGTTTATGCCCGAAGAGAACAGTTTGTGAACACAGAGGTAGGATTCACAAGGCTGGAAAGGCAGGGCTTCGAACTCCAGGTGTCTGGAGAGCGCGAAAGAGGACTACCGCCGCCACCGGGGCGCAGCCGGGGACGCGGGGCCACTGCCGCATGCTCGCTGCAGCGTGGTAGCCCGTGACCAGCGCAGCCGTGCGGGTCCAGGCCCGGGGGCAGGGTCACACGGCTGCGACGCCGCGGCTCTTCACGAAAACCGAAGCCCGGACATCGTTCGACTGATGAACGCTTGGGGGCGCGGGACTCCGTGCGTCCGCTTCCCTTTACGGCGGCAGGAAGGAGGCGCACACGGCGGCTCGTTGGTCTAGGGGTATGATTCTCGCTTAGGGTGCGAGAGGTCCCGGGTTCAAATCCCGGACGAGCCCACTTTTGTGCTGGGAGAGTCCGGAAACGGATTATTTTTAGGGTAGACGGGTACATGCAATAAAAGCAGTTCAAACGCAAAATCGAGACGCCGCGAACGCAAAACCTGCTTTTCGCCGAAATACCATTAAAGAGGGTAAGGTGAGAACGCGGAGGGTTGCTGGCTGGGTTTCGCTGCGGCGACGAGAGAGGCTCGGCCGCCGGGGGTCTACCGTGCGGGTGTGTCCGTGCGGAGCTGCAGGAGGGCGCGCCCCAACTCGCGCAAACGCCCCGGGATCTGCTAACCGGGCGCACGCCCGGATCGGGTTTGGAGGCGCTGCAAGCGTGCCCGGCATGCTGTACCGGGGCCTCGGGGTGCTTTTTAGGCTTTTCAAGCACATGCGTTTTCCAAAGCACAAGCCAGCGTTTTAACGTCTCGCCCTCGAACGCACAGTAGGTATCTGAGTGTGAGTCGGGCTCTTCTGGTCCTGTGCTTCCAAAAATGAAAGCGATCAGCATTCCGGGTCACGGGACCAGGACGTCTCATTGAAACCTCTAAATAGGTTGTCTGCAGCAGGAAAAAAAATGTCTTTTAAAAAGTAACAACGAAGAAAAGCCTGGGCTCGTCCGGGATTTGAACCCGGGACCTCTCGCACCCGAAGCGAGAATCATACCCCTAGACCAACGAGCCGCTCCCGGCTCAAACGCTCCCGGCGCCTCCCTTCAGCCTCGTCCCGCCTCCGACACACTACGGACCGACCCGGGAGACCTCGCTCTCGCCGCTTGGGCCGTTGGCTCCCTGAGGCTCGGTCCCCAGCGCTTCCTGCCACGCAAGGGACGAGCAGCGAGCGACGCGTGGGCCACGGAGCACGCCAGTGCCTGGCTCCACGCTGCCCACGCGCGGCCGGGATCATCCCCGGTCGGCACCGGGCAGAGAAAGGCTTGGGACGGCGCCCCGCATCATCGAAAGGGCGTGGGCCGCGCGCTGGGGAGCGCGGGTCGGCGAATGCGAGCAGGGCACGCGGGGCTGGGAGAGCGGGCTCGGAGGAGCGGCTGTGCGCCAAGAACTCATCCCAGCGTTCGCCTTGGGTTCCTGCATGCCTTTAAGCCCTTCGCCCGTGGTGAACTGATCTGTTTCTTAACAATCACTCCCTAAGGGACCACGGTTGTCCCCATTATACAGATCGGGAAACTGAGGCGGGGAGAGGTTAAGGAGCTCAGGGAAGGCCCCAGAACGGGGAAGGGCTGGGTGGCGCTGATTGTGGGAGTGCCCGAGGAAGGTGGGAGAATGGCGGCGGCTGGAGGCAGTGCGGGCGAGGGATCCTACTGCCCAGTGGCTCAGCAGTCCCAGGGCAGGGCCGCGGCCGCCGGCCCGCTCGGCCTGCTCCGCTTCGTCCCTGGAACGCCCTCAGTTTGGGGCGATTGGCATCCGGCGACCAGTGGCTTGCGCGGACCGCGTTCCCGAGGGCTCTGCCGTCTTCCCCCGTCTTCTCTTAATGCCAGGAGGCTCTGGGGCGCCCCTGCGTGATGGACGGCGAGGACTGGCGCTCCCGCCCTGGGGCAGTGCGACCGGGTCCGAGGGAAGATGCCCCTACGCGAAGAGCCGAGCCGAGCCACCTTTCCGCGCGCAAGGCTGGCGCCCCGCAGGCCGGGGAGGTGGGGTGGGGGCAAGGCTCGGGAGGGCAGCTCGGCCTAAGGCCTCTGCTTGTCCAGCTGGTGTGTGGACACTGTCTACACCCGCTCCTGCCGCGCTGCGTGTGGACAGCTGGATATTGCTTGTAGTTTGAGGATGGAGGCTGTGGGAGGCTGGGGGAGGAGGGGTATCAGGGCCAGACCTGAGCAGGGTAAGTTTTGCCCCCCTACCCCCTTGAGGTGGTGCCTGTCCTAGGACTTCCTTACCCTGCCAGAACTGTGTCCCGCCCCTAGGGGCTCCGGTTCCTTCCTGCCACCCACCAAAGTGCCGCTGCAGGTGGCGCATTCACTGCCAAGATTTTTGTTCTTTGAATTTCCCAAATCAGCTTTGCCATCCCTTTGTCTGAAATGGCTTCAGCCTTCCCTAGCTAGACAATGGGTTTCTTTTTCTTCACCCTCTGATAAGCAAGTGGTGTCAGTGAATGATAATGACTGTTTTATTAACCTATTTGCACCTGTACATATTTCTGTACGGTGGACGATTTCCTTAGGACAGCCTGCCAGAGTTGGTCGGATCAAAGAGGAGATCGCTTTTATGCTTTGTCCGTGGCCCTCTGATGCAATTCTACACCAAGGAACTTGGGCGGGCTGGCTGGCGAGTGAGAGGTAAATGCCTGGAAGAAGAGACTCTTGGACAGCTCTAGAACCCATGATTCCATCTTTTAGCTCCACTGGGTTTGGGTGGCATCGAAGCTCTAGAGAATGGTGATCTCGTTCAAGTGTTGCTGAACATAATCTTGGTCTGGGGGTCGTGTGCACCAAAGGGAAAAGGTGGAACTAGATCAAGAGTGTAGTGATTCCTTAGGAGATGATAATTAGAACGACTCTAGAACAAGGCGACTGAAACTCCCTTGGGGTGGGGAGGCTGTGACTGTGTTATAACTAGCGTTTGCCCGTCGCTGAATTCCGACCCACTTTGTCGCTGAATTCCGACCCACTTTGGGCTCAGGTAGTGCAGACTGGGCATTGATTGGCATGGTCAGCCCTTGGCAGTGAGAATGCAAGTCTTCGCCTGGGTTCCTCGCTGAGGTGGCACACAGGTCTGCGTGTGGCTGTGTGCGGAGTTTCATTCGCTGCTCCTGGATTATGCAGTAATTGACGCAAAGCCCATGGCATAGGTCTTGCTAGAGTTGTTTCACAGGCCTTGCCCCAGTGGAGACAGAAACGTGGAGCTGACTGAGAGTTTGTGTCTTTTTCCAGCTTTAAGTCCCCTCTCCTGCCATAACTTCAGCTATTTTTTTTTCTTAAACACATTTTTCTCTGGTTTCCCTCAGTGGCCCTTTTCCAGGGCTTTATCTTATGTCTCCTGAATTTTGCAATCCTTTTGCAGGATCGCCATGAGTGCATTCTTGGAGTTGCTTCAGGCCCTTCATTTTTCACTCAAGTTCTCAGTTGGTTTTTGAGAGTGCATGATCAGGAGGTGACAGGAATCCAAGATCTGGTTTGTGGGAGAAATGCGTTCTGCTAAGGACATCTCATTACCCAGGGATCTTATTACCCTTCGGTTTTTCTTTACTTTTTTTTTTTTAAGATTTATTTATTTATTTGAAAGTCAGAGTTACACACACACAGAGAGAGAGAAAGGTCTTCCAACCACTGGTTCACTCCCCAGTTGGCCACAATGCCAGAGCTGAGCGGATCTGAAGCCAGGAGCACAGGAGCTTCTTCTGGGTCTCCCACACAGCCGCAGGGGCCCAAGGACTTGGACCATCTTCTACTGCTTTCCCAGGCCATAGCAGAGAGCTGGATTGTAAGTGGAGCAGCTGGGACTCAAACCAGCACTCATATGGGATATGGCGGCTTTACCTGCTGGGGTACTGTGTTGTCCCTGCTGTTTAAAGATTTGTCACTCATTCCTCTGGATAAGTTGCTTTTCGAGCCATCTCCCAGATGGAGTTAACAAAGAAGAGCAAAGAACACAAAAAAGTCTAGGGCAAGAGACTGCTTTTTTTTTTTTTTTAATTAATTTATTAGACAGGTAGAATTGTAGACAATGAGAGAGAGACAGAGAGAAAGGTCTTCCTTCCATTGGTTCACTTCCCAAATGGCCGCTATGCTGATCTGAAGCCAGGAGCCAGCTGCTTCCTCCTGGTCTCCCATGCGAGTGCCACAGTGCCGGCCCCAAGAGACCACTTTTCTGCCTTCCTAGTGCTGCTTGAGGTACCTCTTGGCTCACTCAGTTAATCCTCCGCCTGTGGCGCTGGCATCCCATATGGGTGCTGGATTCTAGTCCCGGCTGCTCCTCTTCCAGTCCAGCTCTCTGCTGTGGCCCGGGAGGGCAGTGGAGGATGGCCCAAGTGCTTGGGCTCCTGCACCCATGTGGGAGACCAGGAAGGAGCACCTGGCTCCTGACTTCGGATCAGTGCAGCTGCTGGCCGTAGCAGCCACTTGTGAGTGAACCAATGGAAAGAGGAATACTTTTCTCTGTCTCTCTCTCTCACTGCCTATAACTCTGTCAAATTAAATAAATAGATAAAAATAAAAGCTTTCAAAAAGTAAGACAATGAGAGTGGTTTTTCTTTTTTTTTTTTTTTTTTTACAGGCAGAGCTAGACAGTGAGAGAGAGATCGCTGCACCAATCCGAAGCCAGGAGCCAGGTGCCTCCTGGTCTCCCATGGGGTGCAGGGCCCAAGGACTTGGGCCATCCTCCACTGCCTTCCCGGGCCACAGCAGAGAGCTGGACTGGGAGAGGAGCAACTGGGACAGAATCCAGCACCCCAACCGGGACTAGAACCCCAGGTGCTAGCGCCACAGGCAGAGGATTAGCCTAGTGAGCCACGGTGCCGGCTGAGAGTGGTTTTCTTATGAGCTCTAACCCCGTCTTATTCGAGTAGCATTTGAGCTCAGCGCTCTTGGCCTCTCCATATGCCACCTGACCTAACATCATGGAAGACAGTTCATCCTATTTGTACCTGATTTATAGAGTTCAGAGTTGACAAGGACTAGTTGGGGTCAAAAGAAATTTAATATTGCAGCAAGCAGTGGGTAGTAACCCGCTGCTCAGGCATCACCTGTTGGGACAGCATTGTTTTCCGCCTGCTCCGTATCACTTCTTTGCTCACAGCACCCTGATTTCTCTCTGAGGCTCATAGTCCTCGCAGAGTGAACAGGATCGACTCACCTGCTCCTTGGTCATGACAGCTGGTTCAGGTGTGTGTCCACGAGCCACATGAGGCCTCTGAAAGCCTCTGCAGGCTCATTTTTTCACCCCACAAACTCTCACTGGATTTGCAGCGTGGGATGAGCCTGCTTGAGACTGTGACCAACACAGAGGAAGGCAGAGACCAACACCGTGAGAGGTTCCTACCATTGCTTGGTGACTGTATTTAGGTCTGTCCATGGATTTCCCAGTTATCGGATGGACCTAGAGGTAAATGGACTGGGAGTGTGTGTGTGTGTGGAGAGAGAGAGAGAGAGAGAGAAACTGACACAGAGATCCATAGATAGATATACAAGGGGTCTTCATAAAGGTCATGGAAAATGTGTATGATGAAAAAACCAGAGGCCAGCACTATGTAGTAGTTTGTGCCTTTGTCTATAGCGCTGGCATCCCACATGGGTGCTGGTTCATGTTCCGGCTGTTCCTCTTCCGATCCAGCTCTCTGCTATGGCCTGGGGAAGCAGCAGAAGATGGCCCAAGTGCTTGGGCTCCTGCACTCGCCAGAAGAAGCTCCCGGCTCCTGGCTTTGGATCAGCTCAGCTCTGCTTGTTGCAGCCATTTGGGGAGTAAACCAGTGGATGGAAGACCTCTGTCGGTAACTCTACTTCTCAAATAATAAAATCTTAAAAAAAAAAAAAAGAAAGAAAGAAAGAAAGAAAGAGAAAAAAAAAACTATGCCTGGGCTTCAAATTTTTTTGCACCAAAATAAACTTATCTTTTAATTCAATTTTCCATGAACTTTTAAAAAGTATTTATTTATTTATTTTGAAAGTCAGAGTTATATATAGATAGATCTTCCATCTGCTGATTCACTCCCCAGATGGCCACAACAGCCAGGGCTGAGCCAGGTCAAAGTCAGGAGCTTCATCTGGGTCTCTCACATGGGTGGTAGGAGTCCAAACACTTGGGCCATCTTCTGCTGCTTTCTCCCAGGCAATCAACAGAGAACTGTTTCAGAAGTAGAGTAGCCAGGACTCAAACTGGCGCCCATATGGAATGCTGGCGCTGCCATGGCAGCTTTACCCACTATGCCTCAGTGCTAGTCCCATTTCCTATGAAGTGTTTGAAGTCCCCTTGAGTTAAAATTTTTTTTCTTTACATTTATTTGAGGAGCTGAAAGAAGGAGACACACAGAGCTCCCATCCATTGGTCCACTCCCGTTTATAAATGCCTTCAATGACCTGGGCTGGGCCAGGCCAATGTTGGGAGCTGGGAACTCGAGCCAGATCTCCTACATAGGTGGCAGGGACCCACTTACTTGAGCCATCACTGCTTCCTCCTAGGGTCTGCATTAGCAGGAAGCTGGAGTCAGGAACCAGAGTTGATTACTGAACCAAGGTACTTGATACAGGATGCAGACATCTTAGCCACTAAGCCAAACAGCTCTCACTTGCCTAAAAATTTTGTTTTTAAATTTGTTGTTTTGGTTTTTTGTTTTTTTAAAGATGTATTTATTTGAAAGGCAGAGTTATGGGGGGCTGGGGCTGGAGAGAGAGAGAGAGAGAGAGAGAGAGAGAGAGAGAGACTTCCATGCATTGGTTTCATTCCCCAAATTGCTGCAACAGCTGGAGCCAGGAGGGCTGGGCCAGGCTGAAGCCAGGAGCTTCATCCGGGTCTCCCACATGAGTGGCAGGGGCAGAAGCACCTGCTGGTACCTGGGCCATCTTCTGCTGCATTCCTAGGCACATTAGCAGGGCGCTGGATAGGAAGTGAAGCACCTGGGGCCCAAACTGGTGCACATATAGGATGGCGGTGTCACAGGTAGCAGCTTAACTCGCTGCACCACACCAGCCCCTTGTTCTAGTTTTCCTGTTGCTGTTTATTTTGCCCATCAACCAGTTTGAGCTGAGTTGCCGTCATCGGCAGACTGGCCACATTCTTTCAGCTGTAGTGAATATTTTCCTAATCAAAAACACCTGATCAGAAGATAGTGAACTGGCAGCCTTTCCACTCCTTCCTTTAATTGACGTACACTCATATTTATCAAAGGTTTAGTCAACTAATTACAGAGCAAAACCTGAAGCAAACTGGGCTTTGGTTGGGTGACTTCTGCATTCAGAGGGGAGTCTGGAGGGCCCCTATGCCTTCTCATGGTCTCCTGGTTACCTGGCTCCACACACAGCTGAGACAGCATCACAGCCCCCAATTAAACTCCCTCTTCGTGAGGATCCAGATTGGGTGCCTGCTCCTTCCCTGGGAAAAGGAAGCACAAGGTTTGAAATGCAAGCTCAGGCCCGGCGCCACGGCTCACTAGGCTAATCCTCCGCCTAGCGGCGCCGGCACACCAGGTTCTAGTCCCGGTCGGGGCGCCGGATTCTGTCCCGGTTGCCCCTCTTCCAGGCCAGCCCTCTGCTATGGCCAGGGAGTGCAGTGGAGGATGGCCCAGGTGCTTGGGCCCTGCACCCCATGGGAGACCAGGAAAAGCACCTGGCTCCTGGCTCCTGCCATCGGATCAGCGCGGTGCGCCGGCCGCAGCGCGCCGGCCGCGGCGGCCATTGGAGGGTGAACCAACGGCAAAGGAAGACCTTTCTCTCTGTCTCTCTCTCTCACTGTCCACTCTGTCTGTCAAAAAAATAAATAAATAAAAAATAAAAAAGAAATGCAAGCTCAGGCCCGGCTCTGTGGTGCAGTAAGTTAACGCACTGGCCTGAAACGCTGGCTTCTCCAACTCCACCAGTTGGAGACCTGGCTGCTCCACTTCCAATCCAGCTCTCTGCACTGGCCTGGGAAATCAGTGGAAGATGGCCCTGCACCAGCGTGGCAGACCCAGAAGGAGCTCCTGGCTCCTAGGCTTCAGATCATCCCAACTCTAGCTGTTGCGGCCAATTGGGGAGTGAACCCTCAGGTAGAAGACCCCTCTCTCTCTCTCTCTGTAACTCTGACTTTCAAATAAATAAATAAATGTAAACAAAGATAGCGGAAGAACGAATCTGCGTTGTTCTGTGTCTTGCTGTTGTGGACGAATCTGTGTGCTCTTTGGAAGAACAATGGGCCACCCAACACACAGATGAGTTTCTTTAATCCCGAATCTGGGAATCCCGGCATCGCTTAATCACGGTGGCCAGGGAAAGCAGACCCAACAGCAGCGGGGCTGCAGCACCAAGAGGAGCCCAAGCCCTGGGAAGCGGCCTCTGCTCTCTTGCAAAACCCACCAAGCAATGTGATTGACAAAGGGCTAGAGAGATAGAAAGGTATTTTGACACCATTCAGCATCCTCTTCTTGTCTCCGTTTTATTGCTCCTCCAGAAGTAAAATGCAGTCTCATTTGCTTATCTACATCTCCCACTTTCTGTGGCATGCCTTTCTCAAGTAAGGGAAAGTGGCCGTTCCCACCACACACTGGCAGTCACCACCTATGCATGAAACACTTGCTCAGATGGTGTGTGTGTGTGTGTGTGTCTGTGTCTGTGTTGTAAAAAACCCAACAATATACACAAATAAACCACATGTATCAACATCTCTGTTGGTAGTATATAGATTTCCAAATAACTACGCACGTCTCCCAAATTCTGCCACAAATCCAGAGTTTATAATAGCTATGACAGTATCAGTTTCAACCAAGTTACAAATTTGATACAAACTGCAATCCATTTAAAAATCATTTTGAAAAAAATTTTATATACTAAATATTAACATTCTGCTGTAGTTTAGAAAAAACTAAATGGGATGAGAAAAATCGAGGTACCAGTGGTGACACAAGGCCTTTTTGTCTGGAAAGACTGATTTTCTGAGGTCAGCACAGGCTGCTGCCTAATAAATCTTCAGGAAAACAATTACTGCAACTGCCAATGAGCACACTGAAACAGAACAAGGACCAACCCTAAGGAAGCACTTATTTGCATTAGCATCTTTCAGCAGGAGTGTGTGAAGAGAGGAGAGAGTGTGAGTTAAGGAATGGGTTTTCAGGCCTCCCTGCCTTGAAAAACCTCCTACTCTCCAAACAGAATATTGAAGCAAGCTACTCAGTGAGAACAGACCCAAGACCTCAACTCACTCCCCCTGAGTCGAAGAGAAGAACATGGGCTTCATTCCAAGGAAAACTTCCCAGGAGAGCTGGGAAGAATTTTTTCATGGTGCTCTTGGTACCTGCCAGCAAACAACTGACCCGTGTTCAAGGGCACCTGCAGGGTTCAGAGTTCACCCTGGCAGTATCAGTCGGATAGCCGGTGCCGGCGCTGGACAGGCATTGCTGCTCTGCCTTCAGGACCAGGAAGCGCAGGGTGGAACAGCAAACCTCCACCCTCTCCCTGCCTTCCACAGATGTTCTCGAAGCCTCCTCCAGGGTGGCAGAGGGGTCTGAGCTCAGCCGCCACCTCCCGTGGTCGGGACAGGAACAGCTGCTGTTGGTGGCAGCACCCTTCATTTTCCCGTTGTTTCCATAACTATTTCTTCTAGTCCGACGTTCTCAACAGCGGCTGCCCAGTTCACATCTGCACCGATCTGCAAGGTTGTCTCTGGACTCTTGCTACAGTTGCAGGATCTCTGCACTGGACGGGATCAGCATTTCCAGTAGTATCACTTTCTTTTTTTTTTCTGGCCACTGACAGTTTTGACTTATATTTGAGAACCATACAAATTTTAGAACAGTAAAAAAGGCTATAACTACACAAGCAAAACCCTAAAGCTACATCAGAGCTCAGTTTGGAGGTCACCTATATGGAGAGGGAGGATTGAATGGTATCCAGGGTCCCACAGGCTGACCAGAATCCCTGGGGTGTTGGCACCACAGTGAACTGTTTTAAATAAGATTTTCTATCGCTTCTCAGCCTTTTGGCTAAGATCAAGTGTAGTATCTGTTCTTATCAATTTAAAATAAGATTTTCTTCTTTCTCTCTCTCTCCATTTTTTATTAAAAGCTGAGTCCATCAAATGACACACACTAAGCTGATACAGGTCCACCGCCCTCAGATCCATCCCCATCTGTGAGGGATCAGAGAGTGTGGAGGAGAAAAAAACCTGCCCTGGATCTTTGGGGAAACCAGGCTGCCACAACCTGTTGCTGCTACCATTGCTGCTGCTGCTGCTGCTGCTGCTGCTACTGGCGAAGAGATGTCCCCGGTAGCTTCATCCCTCGGGCACAAGGAGTTCTTCACATCTTAGTGTCCTGGCCCAGCCTGTCATCCTAGGAACACAGAAAGGAAGAGTGGATCAGGACGAGGGTCGGGGGATCCTGCCATTCAGCACCTCTCCTTGGGAATTCCAGATCAGGCATAGATAGCAGGAATAACTGTCACAGCTGTGCCTGTGTTTTAGCTGCATCAGTTCGTGTCACTCTCACCCACGCTCTATGAGCTAGGCACTTCCATTAACTGTGTTATCAGTAAGGCAATTAAGGCACAGAGAAGTGAAGCGACTTCTCTCTGGTCACGCAGCTCCTAAGTGGTGCAGTCAGGATTTAAGCACCAGGACTGGGGCTTGAGCCGTCCTCTTCCAGGTGATACTGCACCTGCCCTCATGTCTGGCTTTTCCTGGCCTCCCTGTCTTGGTCTCTGGCCCGCTCGCTCATCCCCACAATTTCATTTTCCCGAAACACTGCTCAAGATTCTTCGGCAGCATGAAAGTAGCAACAGAAAGATGAAGGACTTGAGCATGCTCTTGCCTCCTGGGAACTGAATAGAATCTCCAGGCTCCAGAAGATTCTGAATCTGAGGACTGGTTGTTTAGTGTGGAAGGCGTCACGGAAATGGGAAGTATCTTTGCCTAACAGTCCAATCGCAGCAGTGTCAGACACACCTTCTGAACTTGGGCGCTCATGCTACTTTCCGCTGTTTCAATGAGAATAATGCGAGCACCCTGAGGAGCCCCTCACAAACCCTCGACCCTCCAATTCCTGCAGTTTTATCATTATAGATGGTTTCTTTTGGGTCAGGCAGTTTTCTCTTTGCTTTCACACAACAAATATTTTTTAAAGCACCTATTATGTTCCAGGTTCTGTAGTAGGTACTGAAGATGCACTGGGGGGAACGAGCAGAAAAAAGTTTTAAAAAATAAATTAGAGGGGGCTGGTACCGTGGCACAGCAGGCCACGCTGCCATTTGTAAGCTGTTACCTCAATCAGAGCTTTGGCTTGAGTTCTAGCCACTCTACTTCTAATCCATCTCCCTGCTAACGCACCTGGGAAGGTAGCAGAAGATGGTTCAAGTGCTTGGGCTCCTGCTACTCACAGAGGAGACCCAGATGGAATCCCTGGCTCCTGGCTTCAGCTTGGCTCAGTCCTGGCTGTGGCAGCCATTTGGGTAGTGAATGAGCAGATGGAAGTCCTCTCTCTCTCTCTCTCTCTCTCTCTGTGTGTCTCACTTTGCCTTTCAAATAAATAAATAAAACAAGAGAACTCCAAACACTGATATATACTATGATGACAAAGTAGAATAATGGGAGAGAGTAACTGACTGGGTGGCTGGGAACTGCAGACATATAGAGCAAAAGGCCACGTGGTGACCGAGCCAGAGACTGGAATGAGGTCCCACAATGCCAAGGTAGCTCCCAATCACCGGCAGCTGGAAGAGGCAAGGATGGAATCTAGGGGTGGCAGGCAGTCACCAGAACTCAGGGCAAAGGAATTGATTCTCTCTGAGGACCTGCACAGGGACCCAACCAGGCCAGTATTTCCATGTCGAGAGTCCAGGCCTCCAGAGCTGCGTGGGAAGTACAGTTCTATTGTTGTAAGATACCAAGTCTATGGGCACTGTCGTAGCAACTCTAGCACAAGAGCTGGGTCATTTTAGAAAAGAGCGGCTGTTGTACAGTTCTGCATACATTCCTATGGACTTACTTCTAAGGGTACAGTTTAAAAACTTGTCATGGGACTCCAAATCCTATTAAAATTGGTGGTAAAAATGCCATCTTAATTGTTAAAGTGATCATACTAAGTTTTAAAGAGAACATATAGATAGTATTAACTGTTAAAGTGATCATATAAATAGGATCAAGTGCTTGGCAATAATAATAGATAGAATTAAAAAGGAGAGAATGTCCAACATGGGAAGCAGTCCACACAGCAGATTCATAGAATGACAATTGCCTTAAGTAACACTCTGATCTCAGAATTAGCCCTTAAAGCTTCCTGGTCCCTCTGAAAAGCCCATGAGAGCATTTCAGGCATGGAAAGCCAAGACACTGTGGTAAAAAATGTTCTACATGAAGGATCTCTGTGAGTGAGACCCCAGTGGAAAGAAGTGGCCATCAAAGAATGATATACTTTCTCTAAAGAGAAGAGAGAACTTCCACTTTGCTTATGTCCTTGCCCAAATACTAACAGAGTCTGTGGACTCAAAAGTCTTCCATAGCCTAGGCAGCTCATGTCAAAAGCCTCAGGTGATCACTGACATACATAAGAGTGTTAATTGTTAAATTAACAACAGGAATCGCTGTGCACTAACTTTCCATGCAGGACCTCTGTCCTCAGAGTTGTATTAAAAGTTAACTGTATAGCTAGTTCTCAAACAGTTTGTGTGTGTGTGTGTGTGCGCGCACACACAAATTGTTGAAATCTTTACTTAGTATAGAGTTGTCTTCTAAGTACAAAGTTAATTGAAAATCATAATGGAGAATGGGTCTGGCAAGGGGAGAGAGAGGAGGGGGAGAGGTGGGAGTGTGGGTGGGAGGGTGGGTATGATGGGACAAATAACTATATTCCTAAGTTGTACTTATGAAATTCGTATTCCTTAAAAAAAAAAAGAGCAGCTGGTCCAAACCAACAAGCATCTCACCCTCTGGATGCTGGTCAAAAAATGGATTGCAAAGGCAGAAGAAACCAAAGAGGAAGCAGGAAGCCAGATAAAGAGGCTGAGAGGCAGGCAGCTGACGGTGGCATGGGTGATGAATGAATGAATGCACACATGTGCTAAGAACAAGGGAAGGGAAAGCACTTGACACTGACTGAGTTGATGAGTTGTGGAGCCAAGGACTGGCGGGTAGGCCGCTGAGATTTCTCTGGGGGCAACTTCTCAGTCTCTGCAAGGCATCTGCTGCTCCCAGAGCAGGTGGGGGTGGGGGTGGGGGGACAGTCCAGTTGGTGCGGGCAGGGACAGGAGGGTGGGGACTGTGGGGAGCAACCCGGACTAGACTAAGTTACTGGAATTAAGACTTATTCTATGCATCTGCTCTCCCACAGTATGGCGCTGGGAGAGGAGAAAACAGCTTCTACGCAGCTGCCTCTTGCCAACTTGAGTGATGACCTCCAGGAGCTGATCCTGCTCCTGATTGGAGGAGAGCAGCGTACTCGGCGTGTGGGCAGCCGAGTTGGGATTGGCGGAAGAGGACTATAAAGGAGGAGAGAGACAACATGCACCAGGAACATCTAAGGGGAACATCTATCTGAGGGAACACCTGTGCAGCCCCCGAGAGAGCCGGCCGGCGGTGTGCCGCTCCCCCGCGGAAGTGGCGAAAGTGGCCAGGGGGAACCGCCCTTCCACGGAGGTGGAAGGGATGGTAGCCAACCCGGGAAGGGCCGAGCAGACAAAAGAACAGCGCAGGGTCCTGTGTCGTTCCTCCACGAAGAGGGGGAGCGACATAATGGTGCCGTGACTCGGATATGAAGCCTAGGCAGGGTTTAGTGTTGTTCCTCCACGAAGAGGGGGAGCGACAGGGACCGAGTTACATCTCCCTCCTTGGGTGCAGCTCGTGTCCCAGGCCTCTGAGTGGAGGATGTCACACGAGGCCTCCTCCCGAAAGGCCCAATTCGAATGCCACCTGTGTCTGGAAGCGTCCCCAACGTCCACAAACAAATGGCTTCTCCTGCTGTGCCTCTGGCCTCCCAGGAGTGGCTCGTGTCCCCTGTCACATTCTGCTAATGCACCCCAATGAACTGCTGGTGTCACGGGCCACACGGCGAGGGTTTCCATCTCTGGGCCCCTGCACTCAGCAGGCCTCAGCCACTGAGTCCTGCTGCTGTCACTCCACACGCACCCAGAAGTTTTGCTGCCAATGCTCCGGGGGCAGCAGGCAGCTGCCAAGAGCACGAGGCACACTGCCCTCTTGTCCCGGGGTCCCCTCACCCTGGCGACAGGCTGTCTCAGTGTAGTCCCACGGGGCAGGAGCCTGGTGCTTTTGTGTCTGCACACTGGGCTGCTGTGTGCTAGTGCTGAAAGGAGCAGGGCACGTGACAGGCATGCACTGGCCCCGGCACGGCCTTCCCCGCGTGGACAAGCCCGGCCACCTACCTCTTTGTTGGGGACGGCTGGGCCGTCGCTGTGGACCTGGCTGCTGGTCTCCTGCAGGGCATGGCTGGTCCCGGGGCTGCAGCCTGGCTCGGGGACTGCCCCTTCCTCTTGCTTCTCCTGGCCCTCGTCCAGCTTGGGGGTGTCACTGTCTTCCATCCCTCCAGGGGCGCCCTGGGGGACCTCCACCCCTGCAGCTGCCTCCTCTGGCTTCTCGTTCTTCAGTCCAGGCTCAGGCTCTGCAGCCCCCGGCTTCTCCCCCTTTGCCTCCACCTCCTCTTCCGCTGGCTTTGCCTCCATGGGGCTCCCCTGCCCATTCTCGGCCTCTGGGCTGGAGGCTTGGGGTGGTGCGGGGGCCACCGCCTCTGGATTCTGCGCCGCCTTCTCGCATTGTGGGGCCTCCTCCGCCGCCCCGTCGTCCTGCTCCTCCTGTTTCTCTGGCCCGCTGCGTGTCCTCCTCAGAGGGGGCCTGTCCCCAGGCCCCAGGGGTCCCCCCACTCCCTCTCTGGCAGCCCCCTCTCTAGCCGGCAGGGACCCTGGGGCCCTACTCTTGGACGGGAACACCTCATCTCCATTCTCTTCTTTGGTGCCATTCTCTTGAGCCGCATCGGTGACCCGCAGGTCTCCAAGTTCCCCACAGTCTGACTGGGACCTTCGGAAACGCCTGGAGGGGGGGCGCCTTTTGATGGAGCCCCTCGTCCGCACCTGGAAGAAGGTGTTCAGGAAAATTAGCTGTAAGAAGAGCCAAGGGGGAGGCCTACCAGTCTAAGGCACTGTTAGCAAGCCCCACGGGTGGGCGTGCATTTCCTAGGCCAATACTCACTGTGCTATTTGTGGTGGGTTTGGACCCTGTGGGGTGGGGGTCAGCCCACAGAGTGAGTGACAGACCTCTGACTCATGGGGATGCAGATGCTTACCATCCAGAAAAAAAAAAAAAAAAAAAAGAGAGAACTTACAGGGCCCGCATGTTGGCACAGTGGTTAAGGCTTGGACGCCTGAGTCCCACATCACAGTGTCTGAGTCGCGGCTCTTTCCAGTTCTAGCTTCCTGCTAATGTGCACCCTGGCTGATGTGCACCTGCTGATGGCTCAAGTAGCTGGGTCCCTGCCACCCAGGTCAGAGGCCGGGATTCAGTTCCTGCTCCCAGCACTGGCTGTTGCAGGCATTTGGAGAGTGAGCCAGTAAATGGAAGCTCGCTCTCTCTCTCTCTCTCTCACTCTCTCTCTTTCTCTCTCTCCCGGTCTATCTCTGTCTTGCTGCCTCTCAAATAAAATGAAAAGAAAGAAAATATTTTAAAATGATAACTTATGATTTATTGCCCTATAACATTAGCCAATTTGGTATATACCTTAGCAACAAGTCATACAATAATTTCCAACATGTAAACAATGGCTTATAAAGAATTAATTCTGGGGACCGGCGATGTGGCGTAGCAGGTAAAGCCGCCGCCTGCATCCCATATGGGCACCAGATCAAGACTGGCTGTTCCACTTCTGATCCAGCTCTCTGCTATGGCCTGGGAAAGCAGTAGAAGATGGTCCAAGTCCTTGGGCCCCTGCACCTGCGTGGGAGACCCTGAGAATCTCCTGGCTCCTGGCTGATCGGCGCAGCTCCAGCCTTGCAGCCATCTGGGGAGTGAACCAGTGGATGGAAGACCTCTCTCTCTCTCTCTCTGCCTCTCCTTCTCTCTCTGTAACTCTTTCAAATAAATAAATAAATATTTAAAAAGACGAATCTATTCTTCACATGCTCTTTGAGTTTTACCATCCAAAGGGTCTCCTCCTAAATTGCAAGCTATTTCTTTTTTGCAGAACTCACATTTTCATATTTTGAAAATGATGCTTTAACAAAGGCGAACCCAACAGAGCAGAGGGTTTGAGGCTGGCTGATGGCCTTGGCCCTGGAATGGGGACCTCTCCGGGGCTGAACTGCACAGCTGGCTGGTCCAGCGTCCTCCCTGGCCCCAGCTCAGTCCTCCCCACCCTTACCCAGCGGGCTCACGGGAAAGCTCTCAGGTCTGCCACCATCAGAAGCTGCCCAGAGGGAGTTTGCAGAGAATGACTGCAGCCTCTCAGAACGGAGCCTTCTCTTGGCTCACTGCAGTTGTGAGCAGTGCGAAGCACACGACGTGTCAGAAGCCCAGCTTGACTGCGCGGGTGTGTCCTTCAACAAATTCAATGACGTTTTGTCTCATTTTCCCACTGATTTCCACTTTGCTATTTGTCCAGCCAGGTAAATCTCAGAGGTTGAGAATGAACATTTGGAGAGTTAGGACTTCCCAGGCTTTGCCTGAGACCACCATGAGGCTAGCTCTGCAGGTGTCAGAGGCCCTGACCCTTGTGGCCAGAAGGTTCAGAAAGCATTGTGGGGGCCCGCTCTGTGGTGGAGTGGGTAAAGCCACCACCTGCAGGCCGGCATCCCATATGGGCACTGGTTCGAGTCCCGGCTGCTCTACTTCTGCTCCAGCTCCCTGCCATGGCCTGGAAAATTGGTGGAGGATGGCCCAGAGGAAGCTCCTGGCTCCTAGCTTTGCATCAGCCCAGCTCCTGCCATTGTGGCCATTTGGGGAGTAAACCAGTGGATGGAAGATTCTCTCTCTCTTTGCCTCTCCGCCTTTCCTCTCTAACTGTGCCTTTCAAATAAATAAAAAATAAATATTTTTTAAAAAGCAAGCAAGCATCGTGCCCACTCCCTTGTTACAGTCAGAGGCCTCAGGCCTCCGTGTGTGGCCGGGTAGCATCCCCTCTGTTGTTCCGCTGCTCCCTCTGAGAACACCGACAGAAGACTGTACTGTCCGTCGACTCCCGTCTGCCTTCGAGGTCTCCAGGCAGTAGGCTCAAGCTTGCCCCACGGCCTCCTTATCACCAATGTGTTTCTTGGGGCTCTACCTATTCCTACACATCTTTTTTGCTGGATGGGTTTTCCGGAATGACCTAGAAGATCTCATTTCTCCACCTTTAATTCCAAAGTCGCATGTTGCATTCCGTGGTCCTGACCCCTTCTATCTCAGCCCCCCCCCCACCCCCCCCGCTGTGGTCCACATTGGCTGAAGCCCTGCTAGACTGCATGGAGTGGTGTTCTGATTTTACCTCCTTCTGGTAGTGCATCCGGGTACCTGATGGAAAGGTTTTCACCAAGTACCCAGAGAAATGAGCCCTACCAGGTGTCTTTCCACACACAGAACAGTCTGGATGTTCTTTTATTTTTATTGATTTTTCAAATGGAACATTTAGATGTTTATTTTTATAAGCTTTTTAAATTGATTTATTTATTTATTTTGAAAGGCAGAGTTACAGAGAGAGAGAGGGAGAGGCAGAGAGAAAGGTCTTCCATCCACTGGTTCACTCCCCAAATGACCACAACGGTTGGGGCTGGAGCCAGGAGCCAGGAGCTTCTTCCAGGTCTCCCACATGGGTGCAGGGGCCCAAGGACTTGAGCCATACACTCTGCTGCTTTCCCAGGCACATTAGCACGGAGTTGGATTGGAAGTGGAGCATGGGATGCTGGCACTGCAGACGGCGGCTTTACCCAATACGGCGCAGCGCCGACCCCTGGATGCTCTTTAACTGGGGTGAGCTACAGTAAGAATGGCTGGGGTCCATCCTGGGCCATGCTCCCATTGGGCCAGAAGAGGGCGATCTGGTGCTCCAGGGACCCTGCCCGCTTTTCCAGGTGAGCCACCGACCAACCCTTTAGCTTTTCTTGGCAGCTTGTGCCATTTCTTATCTGTGCAGCTAAGATCAGCTAGAATTCTCACCCCTCTCTCCACAGAGGGTACAGCCCTGTATCCCCCAAGCCTGCCACTGGAGCTAATGGTGCAGAAACAGGGGCAGGAGATGAGAGAGGCAGGCCTGGTGGAGCAGTGGCCTCAGCTCCAGAATCATTCATGAAGGAGAAGAGAAATTTCCCTTCTGTTGAAAAACCGGCTCTGCCGACAGCTCCACACCTCTCTGCCCTTACTCCAAGGCAACAGGTTGGAGAAAATTCTTGGGGCCGGTGCTGTGGTGTAGCAGGTAAAGCTGCTGCCTGCAGTGTCAGCGTCCCATATGGGCTCCGGTTCGAGTCCCAGCTGCTCCACTTCCGATCCAGCTCTCTGCTGTGGCCTGGGAAAGCAGTAGAAGATGGCCCAAGTGCTTGAGTCCCTGCACCCATGTGGGAGACCTGGAAGAAGCTCCTGGCTCCTGGCTTTGGATTGGCTCTGCTCCAGCCATTGCGGCCATCTGGGGAGTGAACCAGTGGATGGAAGAACTCTCTCTCTCTCTCCCCCTCTCCCTCTCCTTCTCTGTGTAACTCTGGCTGTCAAATAAATAAATATTAAAAAAAAAAAAAAGAAAATTCCGGGAGTCTGCAGCACTTGGCACCCAGAATGTACCTTATTGTAACAGGGCAGATGGCTGCCTTCAGGTGGCTGGTCGAAGCTAACAGGGACCTCCTCTGCCTCGCTGCTCCGAGACCGAACGCCAGGACTGCTGGGCGTAGAAGGTGGGCTGTGAAATGGCGACACCATGGCCTTGAGCCCAGGACTCTTGGGTGAGGCGCCAGGCAGCAGGGCTGCTGGGTCAAAGGTTAAGTTGGCCTGTCGAGAAAAGATGAGGAATTTCAAGTCAGGGAGCAGAGGGGAGCGTCAGCTTTAGCTTGTTGATTACCTGGACACAGATCTGGTGGAAGCCAGGTCCCATGAAGCTTTTTGTGTGACGTCTCACCAATTATCCATTGTCACACCAGGTCCCGCTCCAGGAGGCACTGCCTACTCAGTCCCTCTCCTGCTGCCTGCCTCACCACCGGCTGCCCTCCAGAAAGCTCAGGTCGCACTAATGTGGATCCAGGAAGAAGCCCTGGAACAGCTCTAACTTTGCAGGCAAAGTGGCCAGAACAGCACCTGCCAGCAGCCTCAGGATCTCAGAGGAAGTTCCAGACTCACTGGAGTCAAGAGCAGCAGTTACTGCTTACTGGGTGCCTGCTACCTGCTGGGCCTATGCAGCTGTTCCCTTTGCAACAACCCCGCACGTTCCGGTTTTTTCTCATTACCCAAATCAGGAGAGTGGCTAAGGCACCTGCCTCGAGATGCACGCCAGGCCCCTGTGTCCCTCGAGCCTCCAGGGAGTAGGTTCTCTCTTCGCAAACCCTGCCCAGCTCTCCCAGAAGGAGGGTGGCAGAAGAAATGCAGTATATGCCAGCACTTGGGACATCACAGGGCAAGTGAGACCCCGCCCCAGTACACCCGAGGGTAATCAAAGGGGAGAGTTAGCCCAAAGTGACCACAGCCTTGGGGAGTTCTGGGTTTGGGAGGGCAGGAGGTGAGTGGTATGGATCTATCCCATTGCCTTGGGGCAGGTGGAAGCTGGAGGTGTCCCTGGAGGCACTGTGCATGAGCATCCCTGACACTGTTTAGCGCCCTCTAGCGGTGCACCTCCACTCCTGCCCTCTGCATTTCCCAGCCGCTGCACAGTTCCTGCAGGTCCTGGAGTCGTATCAGGAGAGATCGCACTAAGACCTCGCAGAGAACAGATGGAGCGTGAGAAGTGCGTGGCTTTTCTACGTCGTCGACAGACCTGACTCTGATATCGAGTCTTTCACTTAACAGCTGCTGTGTGGCCTCAGGCAAGTCCAACGGCCTGAGTCCTGGGTCCTTAGCTTGACCTCCAAAGTCTGTTCTACCTGGTTCTTTTCACTCTCTCCTGCAGCTCCTCACCTCGCACCCCACACTCACACCCTCTCCCTTCCCCCCACGACTCTGGATCCTGGGAATGCCCACGTGTACTCCAGGACTTGCAGACTATAAAACATTAAACAGGTGGAGGAGGGTATTAGGTTTTTATTGTGAGCTTAAGAAAGAACCCATGAGACAGACAAGCCTGAGTCAGGGGCAAGTCCAGAGTTGAACATAAAGCCAATGCAGATCTCTTTTAGAAAACCAAGTCATGGTGAGAATTAAATACATAAAATATCCAAGTCAAGTGCAATGCTAGGGGCCCAGGAATGCCAGAAAGCATCAAATGGCTAGGGCCAAGGCAAGGGTCTGGGCCGCAGCTGCTGGGGCAGCTCTGAGCTTCCTGCATGGGGCTGTCTGTGTGTGGCACACAACTGACTGTGTTTCCCCCCGAAGACTCATGAATGGCTGGCAAAGGGAATGAGCCCAAGACCACAGGGTACAGAACACTGGGAACCGAGTTTTGGCACTAGGATGGGGGTCAAGGCGGGCTACGGGGATGCTGGGGTGGGGGTCCTGGCTACACCCCCATCAGCCGGCAGCCAGGAGGGATGCTGGAGTTACGGGGTCCTTCCGAGAGACCCCTGTTGTGTAGATGGGTGGCCTACAGCCCTCTGTCTTCCCTGCAGCCGGGGGCGGGGCAGGGGGCAGGGCAGGGCTTCTCGGGATGAATTAAACTTCCAGGGAGACCCGCAGAGCTCTCCTGGGTGCACGGGACAGGCTCAGAGCTCTCGGAGACCCACAGGGTAGGCTCGTGGCCAGAGACCAAAGGTGTTCTCCTTAGCGTCCCATGCTTGGGCTCTCCCTCAGCTAACTGCAGAGGCTTGGTGGCCCCTAATAGGTTCAGAAAGGTAGGTGATGAGCCCATTCTATTGGCTGCGCATGGATGGACGGCTATGACGTATGAGACCTGTGGGTCTGGACAGAGGCTGCAGTGAGAGCAAGAGCCTCCCCCACAGGTCCCATGGGAGGCATCACACCCAGCCCTTCCTAACGCTTCAGCTCATGCAGTTCCTACCCCGGGAGTACCTTCCTCCCCATCCCCACCTCCACCCCTACCCCAGCCACCACCTTCATGGACTGATGCAGGGGGCAGGGGCTTCACACGCAGCTCTTGCTCACTCATCTCTGTTTCCACTCTGAAGTTCTAGACCTGGGGTTCTCACCACGGGATGGGGGCGGGGGATGATTGCGCCCCCTGCTGGAGAGTGCTGCTGGCACCCAGTAAGTGGACCAGGGCAGCCTGTGATGAGCAGGCATGCCCTGCATCAGAGCAACCAGCTCCAACAGCGCCAAGGTGGAGAATTCCCGGACTGTGGGGGACAGGCATTGGGCCAGCAGCACACACAGCTGAGGTCTCTGGTGTTTACTTGTATGCGTCTTTCTTTGTATCAAGAGTGGAAATGTGACTTCCCCTCACAGGATCGTGAGCTCAAAGGCAGTGTCTTCTGCTTCATGGGACACTCCCAGGGGCCAGCCCAGCCCTGGACATACAGGGTGATGGATGGAGAGGCAGGGTTGCGAGCACTTCAACCAAGGCATTTGGCCATTCGTGTGCAGTGTGCAGTGAGAGCTGAAGTCCAGCCCCGTGTGTAGGGCTGAGATGTTTGGGGGCAGCAGGCAGGCTTTGGGGAAGAGGGCTGGGCTGTTCCTGGAGTGTTTCTTGCAACCGTAACGTCGTTGTCCCTTAAGACTCACGAGATGTCGTTTTATCCACCAGTCACTGGGTGGTAACCTGAGCCAAAGTCACCTTATGTGAGATCTCTGTCCCCAGGTGAAGCCTGTGAGCGCCTCATCCTTTGGGGCAATCTGGTATCAGCCCGGCTCTCCTCCGGGGCCAACCGCCCCCGTGACACACAGGGCTACCCCTAGGAGTCCCAGAGATTTCAGATAAGAGGTGGAGCTGGAGAAGCGGCAGCAACGCGTTCTCTGCTTACCTGAAGCTTCTCGATCAGAGGCGAGCTCTTCACCTTGACTTTAGGAGGGTGGCTGGCATTGGGTGGCGATTTCTACAGAGTAAATGGACCAAAACAAGCAGATGAGCCAGGCGTAGGCGGCAAAAAGGAGGGGGTGGGTGGGAATTTGGTGTCACCATGGTGTCATGTAGCTCCCAAGCCCACTGACATAATCAGGCCCCCTCCTCGCCCTCCCTCATCTCACCGGGAGCTGCAGATCAGAGCAGCCAGGCAGGCATCCAAGAGCCAGGAGGCCTCCCAGCCTGGCAAGAGCGACTTCCTTGTTATCCCAAGGGAACCTGTGTCTGCAGGGGGCAGGGTCTTCACCTCCGGCTCTTCAACAATTGGAGGGGGCTGAGTGTCAGGGGTCCAAACACTTGGGCCATCCTCCTCTGCTTTTCCCAGGTTGTTAGCAGAGAGCTGGATGGGAAGTAGAGCGGCTGGGACATGAACCGGTACCCATATGGGATGCCGGCACTGCAGGCAGAGGTTTCACCTGCTATGCCAGAACATTGGTGCTGGCTCCTTGTTCTGTTTGAGAACTGAGAATAATGATGATGATGTGACAGTGTGGAAGGAGGGGACAATCCCATACTGATGGATTGCATGTTATTGGAAGATCCAAGGCAGAGGGGGGGATCTTCCTATAGTTTGGAGTCTAGTAAGTCATCCACACCTTGTTCCCAGATTCTGATTTTCCTGAACCTTAAACAGTTCCAAAATAACTGATCACGCAGTTCCTGAGAGTGGCAGCAGGTGGCAGCATTTCCTTTATGGTAGAGGAAAATGGACCTGCCATCCCTGTGTGTGTACAGACGTATTTCTATGACAGTCCTAGAAAGCCCCACAGTGACTAGAAAATATGCACGTGATTTTTCAGATGGGGGTGTTCTGCAGACCTTTTATGAGTGGGTGAGGCAGGGTCTGCAGCTGCATGAAACACTACAGAGAGAAGTAATCAGGGTCACTGTCTGCAGGAGGACACTGCTGTTAGCAGGTGCTGCCCGGGGACTCGGCCCCATGTCCCAGCGGGCCTAGAGAGCAACAGGGATAAGAAGGGATGCCACGTCCCTTCCCAGCACTGGGCTAGGACCCAGGCATGGCCTGACTTTGGCCCTTCCCGCAAGGCCCCCTGGATTCCAGTGTTAGGGCTGCTGCGGGCTGCACACTAGGGCACAGAAGGAGCAGAGCGGCCAGCAGCCTCCGTGCAGCACTGGACTGGGGCTGGGCCAGGCTGAAGCCAGGAGCCAGGAGCTTCATCCAGCTCTCCTACGTGGGTGCAGGGGCCCAAGCACTGGGGCTATCCTCCACTGCCTTCCCACATGCATTAACAGGAAGCACTGGATCGGAAGGGGAGAGCCGGGACTCAAAGCAGCATCCCTACGGAATGCCAGGCCTGCAGGATGGGGCTTTAACCCGCGGCACCACACAGCATTCTTCCTATGAGCAAGCAGCCTGCCAGTCCAGGCAGGGCTCAGTCTGAAGCCACCTCCACCCCAGCTCCCGAGACAGGTGTTTGGAGCAGCTGTTGGGATGCCTCTTGGGACACCCTTATTCTATACTGGAGTATCTAAGTTCAAGTCCTCACTCCCCAGCTACTGATCCCCCTTCCTGGTAAAGTGCACCTTTGGAGGTAGCAGGTGATGGCTCAAGTACTCAGGTCCCTGACAACCACCAAGGAGACCTGGGTGGAGTTCCTGGCTCTTGGTTTCAGCCTGGCCCAGCGCTGGCTGTTGCATGCATGTGAGGAATGAACCGGATCTCCCTTTGTCAGTCTCTGTCTTCCTGCCTCTCAAAAGTAAGATAAAAAAATAAAAAACAAAGCACATAAATCCCACCCCACTGCTCCTTCACTCTTTGGTCACTGGGTGCCAGGTAGCTGCTGGGTGGTGCACCCTGCGTCCCACCCCGTAACTCTGTCTCTGCAGAGCCTGGGAATGGAGCTGTTTAATCCGATCAGAACCACCCTGACTCATTGTGCTTTTATTCCAGCGAATAAAACTTCCCCAAGCAGACTACATGATCTGTTTGGCTGGTGTTCCTGTCTTCATTAATAAATAAGGAAAGGGACACACTGTGGGGCAGTGACTTCCAGGCCACGCCTGGGGGATGGGGGATGGGGACAGCCTCACATTAGGCTTCCGGCGGCCACAGCCTCAACCTGTTGCATGGCAGCTGTGACACCCGGCCAGCGGGGCAGGCTTTCGAGGAGAGGCTGACCCACTTTAAAGAGAACTTGGTGGCATGCACGTGAGCACCAGCTGGAAACCTCACGAAGCCACAGACCTGTGATGGCAGTGCTGGAAGACACCGAACCAAAACACTTGTGTTTTAAACTGTGCTCCTGGGGACTCTGTCCCAGGATACGCCCCTTGCTTGGTGGGAGAGGGCACAGTATTCTCAGAGCAGCTGGGCTCCAGACCGGATCTGGATCAACTGACTTTCTGCTTGAGCTGATGGGCACCTTGGAAAACCTCTGCGCTACTCTGACTGTTTCACTTTGTAGATGCCAAAATGGAGGCACGAAGGGGCGTGCCTGCGCCCACACAGGCATCCAGCGTGGGTCCCCAGGGAAGAAGGGTTGCTATGGCACTCAGGAGCTGAGCTGTCTTTGGCTTGCCTGCTCTGGTTCAGGGCTGGCCTCTCAGGCTGGCGAGAGAACATGCAGATTCGTCCCTGGCATGACCTGACAGTGGTCAGGTGCGTGGGACGCGGGGACAGGGCTATCACGGCCACAATCAGATAAATGAGCTTAGGTGAGTATGCAGACTGGGAATCTATTACTGGCTACGATCTGTGATTCCTGACTCTTTATGATGTTGGTAGCATTAGCTATTTATATCCAAGGCCAGCAAGGGCTCTGGTTTCTTCCAATGATCCAGAACAACCTCTCCAGCCATTACAAACACACGGCGGAACACGAGGGTCTCCTACGTCACGGTTCTGTCCAGTGCCAGCACGCCCCGTCTTTCCAGGGCCTTCTCCCTTCCTTATTCCAAGGTCACCTCGGTCACAACTTTCTTCACTCCTGGATCTGGTGTGGTCCATTCATTCTCTTTGCGGAAATTCCCAGGCTCGAAGCACAGTGTCCTTGACCAATCCTAAGAGCGCAGGGCGGGGCCTAGTTTCCAAAGGGAGGGATTAGGGGCGGAGACTCGTCCTGGCATCTGAGCTGGAGAGAGAATCTAATCTGCACAGTGACCTTGGAGCCTCTTCCTACAACAAGGGGGCAGAAGACCCACAGTCCTGCCCGCACTTACCTGCTCGCCATTCTGGCCCAGCTCTACCCTGGGGGGGAACAGGGGGAGGGAGCAGGGCGGTTTCCTTCTTGTTGGTTTACTGGCTGGTGTCTAGAGGGAGGGTGACGGACAGACACACAGAGAGAAAGAGAGAGCTGATCAGGCCACAGGGAGGAAGAAGTGGTGGGAATGGCGTTAGGCGAGTGTGGGGGTGTCTGGAGAACGGAGTGGAGGGAGGGGATGGTGTGGCTTGGGGACCGCCGCTAGGTAAATGAGCGCCACCTAACGGCCAGTCCATGCCGGCGCATCTCTCCCATTCCTTTCCTGCTAGAGCACCCCTTTTTACTTGCAAGCCATGGACCGAAACCATCGCAAAATGACCTCCACAGCCGGCCTGCAGCCAGTGCCATCTCCTTTCTCCTCTGTGGCATGCCTGCGATGTCTAGAAACTCTGGAGACGCAGGTGCAAAGCCGTGCACCTCAGGCAGCGAGGCGGGCCAGTTCTCACTCTTCAGGAATCCGCCGGTCCCTGGGCCCCTGTCCTTCCTGGCCCTTGGTTTTCCGTCTGAGTGCGCTTCCCCTCCAGTCCCCTCTCCTTTCTCCAGGCTCCGATCTTGAGAGTGCCCGGCCCTGCTTGCTGCTGATTCCTAGGCTACAGGCAGGAGCTGGGCGTGGGGACCTCTTGTTTCTGAGCCAACCCAGGCCTGGTGCAGCTGGGCAAGACCTAAGCCTGTGTGGGTGGATGATGGAGAGGAAACTGAAGCCATCTCCCATCTCTGAGGGCTGGTCTTTCAGCTCAGCCCGGTCCTTGGACTTGGCACACTCACAGGGACCCTCCCTCACTTTGCTTCCTAATTTGGTCATGACCAAGCCTCTTCCCTCTCTCTCTTCGGGGGGGCCTGCCCCAGTCTTTGCCTTCCTCCAGCCCCTCCCAGAGATGGGGCTCTGGATACCCCAGACTTACCTCTTTCACAGCAGCCGCCTGCTCCCTAAAGCGCCCAGCCAGCTGAGCCACCGAGGGGGTCGCCGAGCTGTCCACACTGGCCTTGGTCTCTGCCGGTCTTTCCTGGCAACAGAAGCAGAAGGGAATGTGAATTAGCACACGTGCCCTGGGCTTCCCTACCCAGGTACCAGGCAGGGTCCTTGTTTTGCGGCCACAAGCAGCTGTGACCATGCAAGGCAACAGGGTATGGTAACATCGTTTGCCAACTCACTTCTGCATTTAAAGCTTTCTAAACACCATCCAGTCAACCACATTTGGTGACCATCTACAAAGTACTTGGCTTTGGGTGTGGCTCCGTGGACCTGGGGACAAATACAATTTGGTCCTGTCCTGGGGGGTGTGGCCTGGGATTTTGGAGGCAGCACAAGCCCCAGGCTTCTCATCCCACAAAGGTCTCGGCAGAAGAAGGCTGTACCAGCCACAGCATGGGCGTCTCACTTCCTCGTTCAGCTCCTTTGAAAACTGGAGGCTGCCGAAATGCACCTGGACGGAGGGGCCTTTAGCTATATGAAACGCACTGAGCAAATGCGCTTTATTCAATGTTTTTAAAGCTGTATTAATTTGAAAGGCAGAGCTACAGAGAGGGAGAGAGAGAGAGAGAGAGAGAGAGAATATCTTGCATCCGCTGGTTCACTCCCCAAATGGCTGCAATGACTGTAGCTGGGCTAAGCCAAAGCCAGGAGCCAGGAGCTTCTTCTGGGTCTCCCATGAGGGTGCAGGGGCCCAAGCACTTGGTCCATCCTCCACTGCCTTCCCAGGCCATCAGCAGGGATCAGACCAAAACTGGAACAGCCAGGACTTGAACTGGTGCCCCTATGAGATGCCGGCACCGCAGTCCACAGCTTTAACCCACTGAGCCACACCGCTGGCCCCTGTATAGACTGTGAGTTCCCTCTACCTCTTCCCTGCCTCAGGTCTCAACTGTAGTCGGGAGAATGTGGGCAGCCGTTTGTTTGAGAAAGTCCATCTCCACCTTTCCATGGGTCTCCTGCCAATGAACACAGCATGGTTCTCTCCAGCAGCAGCTTGCTCACTGCACAGCACACACACACACACACACACACTCCTCTTTTTATGCTTAGGGTGTCTCCAAGCTCTCTTACTTGCACGCATCCTCCAAAGTCAATATCATTAGTCTTCCTATGATGTTGGCCCCTTGTAGCGGGGCAGGGGAGGGCCCTCCTACCTTCCCCCACCAACTTCAGGCAGTGACGTTAAGGAAATAGGGGCGGAGGTTTGAGAAGGAGGCCTTGTTTAGAGATGGGAAGGATGCCTGCAGGGGCTATGAACCTGCTGGTCTGTGAATGGCTGTTCTGAAGGAAGGGCCAGGGCCCTCTGCAAGCTCACCACAGGTCTGGCCCGAACACCCATGCTGACTTTGCATAAAGAGGTACAAGGAGTCACCTCTCTACAAGATGCCGGATTTCCTCACCACGCTGGGAAAAAGCCATGGGGGGCTGAGACCCCACCCCAATTCATGCACCTGTCTGACTTTCTCGCTTGCTACGCTAGGAGCCATCAGAGGCCGGCACTTTGCCCTCCTGGAACAACGGAGGCTTCAGGGAGCATGCGTGGTCAACCGAGCTGCTCTTGGCAGAGACGCTGGGCTGGTCAGTGTGTCCATCTGTCTTGCTTCCTGCCCACGGAACGGATCGGCCCTGCTGTCCGCTGCTATTTATTGCACGAATCCTGCTGACGGCGCACTTCATCTGGGCTTTAGAGGCGCCAATCACTGGCTGTGCAGGAAGATACACTCCAGTTAAAAATAGGGCGGTGTAAGAATCCAACAAGTCCTCCCTCACTTCCCCGTCTCAAACGGGGCTTGGCGAGGGGCTCAGAGAACTAAGAGGCTCTGGAAGCATTTAGGGCTTCACAGGCAGGGTCGGAGGAAAGACTATAATGTGTCTGTGTTTGCTTTCTTGGAGTGGAGGAGCCAAGGGAGAGGGGGCCGGCCCAGACACGCCCCATCAGTCTGTCTCCTGCCAGTCAGGCATACTAAAAGCCAGAGGGGGCAGGTCACCTAGCCAGCGTCGCACAGGAGAAGCCATCTGAGGTCATGTGTGACGCATCTGATGCCAACTTCTGAGCAGCAGGCAGTTCTTTTTTTTTTTTTTTTTTAAGATTTATTTTACTTATTTGAAAAAGTTACAGAGAGAGAGAGATAGATAGAGAGGTCTTCCATCTGCTGGTTCACTCCCCAAATGGCCGCAATGGCCAGAGTTGGGACAATCCAAAGCCAGGAGCCAGGAGCTTCTTCTGGGTCTTCCATGCAGGAAGACCCAATGTCTTGGGCTATTCTTTACTTCTCTACTGCTTTCCCAGGCCATAGGAGAGAGCTGGATCAGAAGAGAAGCAGCCGGGACTCCAACCGGTGCCCGTATGGGATGCTGGCACTGCAGGCTGGGGCTTTAACTCACTGTGTCACAGCGCAGGCCCCCTGCCTTGCGGTTCTGGCAGAGGCAGCTACTAACCCGCTCCCACAGGTTCAAGGCCACGCCGACTCAGCCCTGACACTGCCTTGGTTAGCTCTCACCTTGACTGTGTTCTGAGAAGGACTTAGTGGTCCTTCCCACCCACTCCAGGATGAAATGGTTCTTGGTTCCTGAGAAGTCCACTAAGCACAGAGCCCAATACATAGAACATGCTCATTTAAAGCTGGTTTCTTCCCCCTTCCTCCCATCCGACCCAGTAAGCCAGTATCAGGGCCTGGGCACCTGCTCCCAGGCTCACTAACACCTTCCAGTCACCCCCACGGACCACACCCTGCTGCAGGTCCCCGTCACGCCAGCCACTTGCTTCCACTCTGTGTCTCGGTCACTGCCTAGAACTCAGCTTGTCTTCCTCCTCAGACTGATCTCTGTGCCTCACGTCTGTTCTCAGAGTCATCTTCCTTTGTGTCTGGCTTCAGCCCACCAGTGTTTGCACAGATTTCAGGTCTCTACTCCATCCGCCTGGTTCTGGGACTTGCTAAACAAACCCTTCCTGCCACTGTTCCAGCCTGCTGTGCCAACTGGGTTGGAAGGCAGCCTGTGGTTACAGCTTGACTTTGCCAAGGCCAGGAGAAAGTCGCTGCTGGTGTTTCCATTTCTAAGGGACTTTCTCCCAAGAGCTGGAGAGTCCCGTGTCTGGGCAGCATGGAGCTTCCCCTCTCGCCACGGTTGCCACATTGAGGAAACACAGTTTGGATGCTGCCAACCATCTACACAGTGGGACCTCTGTGTGTAGGGCAAAGAGGGGCTCTTTGTCCCTTCTTGGATCTGCACTGTTTCTCCAGCTTCCTCTTTGGTCTGAGATCTAAGAGCTTCTCACTCTCTGGGCCACGGTGCAGGGGAACCTAGCACCGGGAGGGTCTCACTGTCTCCAGCTTGAGGCGAGAAGCCATGGGGGCTGGGGAACTCTTGAACTTGGCAGAAAGGAAGGTTCTCTCGCTCACCAGAAACAGGCTGAGAAGCCAGCGCTTCCAGGGTGGAAGTCACATTTGCTTCTCTAGTCTTTCAGAATGGAAAAATTGTTCGTGCAAGATGCTCAGCCCCTTCCAACATGCTTAAACCGCCACTTCTAAAGGCTCAATGCAGTCTCTCGGGGGTACAGCAATGACTCCAGCATCTTCCTCTGCATTCATACCATTCCTCGTTCTCCAGTTCACTCCGGTATTTGCCCAGTACTATCCTGGGAGGGTGGACAGCGCACTGCCCGGGGAGCCAGCTGGTCATTTGATCTCCTTAGGGCACCTCCTGTGTGGGAACCCCCATCCTCACCGCAACTGGTGTATCTTCAATGGTTCTCACCTCTTCTAGAAGAGAAACTGAGGCTGAAGTTGCCAAGTCACTTGTCACTCAATGTTAACACGTGCTGGCATGAGAACACTCTGGGTTCTGAAGCTCCAGGTCTTGCCACACCAATAGGCTACAGTGACTGCTCCTTTGCTGGAAGACTTACTCAGTCTCTTGTCAGTATGCATCCACCGCCCTAGGCCACGGGGTGTAGCAGTGAGCAAGACTGCATTTTGCCCTTCAGGAATTGCTATTCTAGCAAGAGAAGCACACGATAAAGATACACGAGGACACTTCAGAAAGTTTATGGAAAATTGAATTAAAGGGCCGGCATTGTGGTGCAGTGGCTTAAGCTGCCGATTTCAACACTGGCATCTCACATGGGTTCAGGTTCAAGTCCTGACTGCTCCACTTCTGATCCAGTTCCCTGCTAATGCACCTGGGAAAGCAGTAGAAGATGGCCCAGGTGTCTGGGCCCCTGTGACCACATGTGAGACCTGGAAGAAGCTCCTGGCTCCTGGCTTTGGCCTGGTCCACCTGGCCATTGTGGCCATTTGGGGAGTGAACCAGCAAATGGAAGATTCTCTCTCCTCTTTTCTCTCATTCTGGCTCTTCCTCTCTGTAACTCTACCTTTCAAATAAATAAATAAATCTTTTTAAAAATTATTTTGGTGCAAAAATGTTTTTGAGATTTTCACGTGATTCATGATCCACTAACTTTCTAAAGCAGCTTGATATCCAGAAAAATAGATAAGACAATTTGTTACATGCTATGAAAAGATAAAACAGGGCACTTGCTCTGTGGCCGGTGGGAACGCAGCTCTGAGGATGGATCATCTGAGGTGAACCCCAGCTGGGGGGAAAATGGGAGGGACATTCTGAGCAGAAGCACAGACAGGAACAAAGGCTGAAGGACAGAGAGGAGCAAAGTGGGGCAGGGACAGGCTGTGCAGGAAGGACCTGGGCAGACAAGGCTGAGAGGCTGTGTGTGGAGGCTGGAAGGAAACAGGGGCAGCGGGGCTGAGAAATGAGGCTGAGAGGGGATGGTAGCGTGGACCAGGCTGGTAGCCAGGGCATGAGGAGGAGGAGAGGGTTTGGAGGTGAGACAGCTGGGGGCCCCGATGCACTGAGTGTAGGGAATCAGGGGAAGCTGGCTCCAAGTTGTTTGACGTGGATATTGGGGCGCATGGTTGGGGGAGGCTTGTGGGGACAGAGATGTGGGGGGTGAGGTGGGGGAATGACTAGTTCTGTCTTGGTCATGGGAACTGGAAATGCCTGTTAGACATCCAA